TAGATTTCGAATTTGGTGTCGCCTGTGTCATTTGAGGCCATTTTCATCTGAATATAGCTGAGGTCAGGTCACTTTCAGGTCAAAAAAGGTCAAATTTCAAAGTTGAAATTTTTCAACAAAAACATGTCTATCGGATGCAGTTTGAGCTCAGGAACACGATGGTGCTATTTATATTGGTGTACGATGTCAAATTCGTACATAAAAATTGATTTGAAAAATTTAAGATCGTGAAATTTTTGCTATGATGCGTATAACTTAGCCATTTTGGAAGATATCTGGCTAAAACTTGCTAGAGTAAGTCATAAACATGTGTTCTATCATATGTATTCCGGTTTTTTCGAAAAATCTAAAAAAATTTGAAAAAGATAAATATACAATTTTTTTAATTTTAATATATATATAATTTTCTAAATTTTCATAATTTTGAAAATTCGAGATTGCAATTTGATAGCTCAGTCCATTCTGAGTCCTCTAATGCAAATAAATTGGATCTAGCTCAAAAACTGAGCTCTTGGGAGCGATTCCCGTGGTTTAATGTTTTGCGTCGAAATCGGCCGAACATGACGTCACTCTGACGTCATTTCCGGCCGACCTATGATAGATACGAAGTTCAAATTTTGACACAAGGTGTCAAATTGATGCAGCCGAAGGTACTGAAAGTTTGGCGGCGATACGTCAAGCGGTTTAGAAGTTATTGCAGAAAAACGGGAGGGGGCAGGAATAGCCTCCCCCAGTGGGGCGCGGGTTAACGTGCCCTTCCAAGCCGGACACGACCTTTTCCACTCAACTGACTTCAACTGGCTGCGACTGCTCCCACCAACCTCAGACAATTCCCGTCAGGAGTCTCAAATATCGAGCACCAGAGCGACTCGAACCCGGTTTCTTACTGCGTGGAGTCCAACGCTCTATTAACTGAGCTACAGGCCAGGCAAATGGGTGCTATATTTGTAAAAAATAGCTTTTAAAAAACTGTTGATTTTACCAGATGTATCATATTATCAGTCAGTTGATCAATGATGCTATTATCTTATAAAGGGGTAAAACTTGACTGAAGAAACAAAGTTGAATGAAGTCATCAAAGGTCAGTGACCTTGACAGTTGACCTAGCCTTCACATAAATTCAACACCTACGCATAAGTCATAATCCCATGGGATAAGGATCATTTCACATGTTGGCAGATTCCTAAGCTAAAAAAGTCTGGAAAAGCGCTGATAATGTGGGCTGACATACTTTGAATAGGGATGGCTTATAAATGTGTATTTTTTTTTTTTTGCAGGTAAAACCAAATGACCTCATTTGTATTTGAGCATTACAAGTGAATTCCACACTTCATGATAATGATGGATGTGACGATGAGTCCAAACATTTCAACAACTATGGAATCTGCAACAAGTGCTGTCACTGACGGTGAGTGAATTGCTGACCATTTCTGCTAAATTGTACATGCCTGCCATGTTGCTCGACATAGTATGTGACTAGGGTTACCCGCGTGCTCCGCAACGCGAAGAAGGGTTATTTTTGACCCGTGGGTATTGGGTTAGTCTGTGTCGATTTGGTTGGTATCCATTTCGTTCGATTGCTTTTTGACGGCAAAACATTTTGTAGTGAAACAAAAAAGATCCATCGCATCGAGGTGCCCGTGTCGTATTATCATGCGTTCTTCTATAGAATGATTGGAAAACTGACGTGAAGTCTTTTGAGGGCCATCGATGAATTTCGCTAAAAATGGCAATGTAATGGTTTGGAACATTTACATTTTTAAGAATACTGTTGCCCGTCATGCAAAAATGAAGAGTGAATATTGGACAGAATTGAATGCTCTTTCCAACGGTGCCATTTTTAATTGCCAGAGATATCAGGTCATGGAGCAAAACCCGTGTGATTAATAAAGTGGCACAAAATTGACAAACACCATTTACTCCCGTGATTTGTACCACCTTGATTTGGATCAATCAGCTTTTCACAATTTTTCATGAGAGGTGGTACATTTCTCTTGCCAATAGGCGTTGTTTCAACTCGTTCCGTCTGACGGTCACCTAAAAATAAATGTAATCTCAAAATCCGTCAAAAACAGCAATTTTTCAAATAAAAGTGCCCTCTCCGGTGCACGTGGCGCGTGCTATCCTCTGCATTGCACACCATTCAATAGCCCGTTCAATTCTGTACACGATGCTGTTTTCCCCGTGCCGGTCGGATCCCTGGTCACCAAGATATTGCACGGGGACTGGACCCGTGTCGGCCAAAATTAGCCGTTTTCGCCCGATTTCGCACGCCGATTTATACATGTAAAGTCTATGACGAGAATTTGCACTTTTTGGGCACGCGCCACGCGCTCACTAACGACCCGATCGAGCTGAGACCCCTCAAAGGCACGTCGCGCATCCTTGATCTATAAGTTGTGCAAATTTCACCGGGCTAGGTGCAACGGTCTGGCCTGTAGTCCACGCAAAGCACCACCAAGTCGGGACCTCGGTAACGGACAGACGCACCCTCCTCAAATAGTAATATAGATGTCTTGCTTTCTTTTCTTTGAATTTAAAAAGCTATTGACAGCCTATATAAATACTATACATATGTATATATGTATGATGCTGAATTGACATCTCATTCTCTACATATACCTATGTCTACAGCTCTTTCAGTCTTGTTGCGTTAAAGTTTTTTCCACGGAAAGAAGCACTAAAAAAAAAATATGAAAACATATTCAAGCTTCGTAAAACCACATTGAAGGCACTGTGCATTGCAAAGATGCCGTAGGTATATCCCATATGTGAACCCACCCTGTGACATGGTGCCTCGGCTGACTCTGTGCCCCCGCCCCCCTCCCCATCACCCAGCAGCACCCGGCGGAGCTGCCGGAGCTGCCAGCGTCAGCAGCGTGCTGCCGGAGGCGCCGCTGCTGAACGCCACTCAGGCGGACGGCATGATGAAGCACATCAGTCCCGGAGCGCTGATGCGCGGCTCCATCGTGTTCGGCGTGCTCTGCGCCCTGGTGGTGGTCTACATCGCCTTCAGAACGTGCCGGTCAGTCGGGGCGGCGACTGGGGTGGGCTCGAGGGTAGAGGGTAGCGGGAGATGGCAAAGGTGCTTCCTAGAGGGCCTTTGCAGGGAGGTTACTATTGTAGGGACATCGCCGGTGATAAGAGTAAAGTGCAGTTAGAAAGGTTGTTTTTGTGTGTGAATGGACGCATAAACCGCATATGGTCTGTGGACTTTGGATCCGGCTGGCACCAGAGTGGTGGGAGTAAACAGGTGCTCGCAGGCAATTATCTCAATGTAATCCGACGCGTGCTGGGGCGAGGGGCAGTTGTGTTCGTCATCACTCAGTCAATACCCTGACGTCACCTAAAGCTGTAAACACCGTGACCCATTTTTGTTTACTTTTGGACGCGTATCATCACAGGAATGTCTTAAATTTCTTGCATAAATTTACTAGCGAATTTCATTCGCTGTGTTTCTGTAGGCTGCGCCGGAATCGGAAGACGGCGCGGTACAACGTTCTGTCTACCAACGACGAGACGGCGCCGCTCCATAGCGACGAGGACGAAGAAACGGTGTTTGACGCCGCCAGTTCGCGCCGGTAGTGCGCCGGCACGGTGCACTACCGGCGGAGTGTGTGTTGACAGCGCGGTGCACCCGATCTGGGGCCGACACCGTACAGTGTAAGCTGTGGACACCAGGTATCTGACTCCGGATATGGCGTCAGGTGCGTGGGCTGCGCAGTACAGCGCGTGTGTGCGCGTGCCCGGGTTTTGTGATGACGAGGGCATTTGTGTGGTCTGCGGTGCGATGTGTTTAATCCGACTCGGCCCTTATTCCTAGCCGAGTGAGAGTGAATGACGGGGACGCTCAATGGGACCTGGCCGGCCTGCAGGTGTTTGTGGTGGCACCTGTTATCGTGTGGACTGTATGTGGGGGTGGGGAGTGCTATCGCTGGTTTAGAGCTTCACACCGTGCTTTCGTGTAGCGTATGGACGTGATAATATACCATCATATGGCTTGAATTATTGGAAATTTTTGTCAATGCTATGCAATTTTCTGGAACCCTTTCAATCTATTTACTTTACCTGGGAAGCCAGCCCGGCAGTATTTGCTGCAACGTTGCCGGATTCCTGATATGACGCCATCCGTCAAACTTAAACACTACTCGCTTGGGTGACTTGTTGTGCGTTGTGCTATGCTTGCTTTGTTGAATTTGTGGCATTGGGAAGACCAAGATATCGGTTGTGGCATGTCACACCGACAAGCCTGATGGTATCTACATAGCCGCCGCTTCTTCCCTAAACTGTGCACCGCGCTGTAAACCGGCGCCTTGATAAGATGACTGGCACCCTGTCGTAAAGCCTGCGTGATATGACGGCGTGAGATCGGGAACATGACGGCATTGATGTATGACTGTCATCGGCTGTGCTTTGACTGCTCCTGAAAATGTGAACGTCCCATAATGTATTCCCGTTGTGCCGCGTGGATTGTGATGTGCCGATGGCGCCTTAGCGATATCGCCTCTGCGACTTCGTTAGGTGATTGCATAATTATTGCTTTGGTATAATGTGCATGTTTAGTTTCCATTGTCAGGACTCGCCCACACAATATCAACTATGAATGCTTCATACTTTCATAGCTTATCAAGCGATATGTCTAGTGATGTTTGCCCCTGTGTCGTTGATTGGTCATCTTCGGGCATTCATTCTGGCTTGCCGGGGTTCTGATTTACTGTGATCATTGCATGGATTGCGTAATTATGGCTGCGATATGCAGATGAATATCGCTTTGCTGTTTGGTCTGCCTTGTTTGATTGAGATACAATGAAACGGATCAACGTTTGGTTTGTTGCCTACTACTTGTCACTATTGGCCTGATCTTTGGAATCACATTTATCCACTGTTTTCTCGATACCTAACCACTGAACGTCCGAATCGATGTCATGGGGATTGTATGGACAAGCATTATGAGAGAACTGGGCCGACTTCGCGTGCTTCGATTTCAACTACTACAACGATTGGAGTATGATGTTCTTATTATTCGATATCACCAACAGTCGATATTACGAATGCAAGCAGCTTACATTCAGCGCAAGCCCTCATTAGTTGTCTATGAGTCGGGCACAGATACGCGGCTACATTACATAGTTGCTGTTTGACCAATGAGAGGTCAAATACGTTTAGAGGTCAATACGCACGTTTTGCACGCATCCATTGAGCAGCATATCTAGCCACGTAGCTAGGGACCACTACGCGACTCGCCTCTTAGCTACTGGCCAAGGAGAAGTCACTTAGCCGGTTTTTGGCGCCCAGTGCCCACCAATCCAAAGCTCTGTCGTCACTCGGCTTAAACCGCAATAAATAAATAAGTAAAATTCGGTCGCCGCTCGGACCTGCTCTTGCTCAGTCTTCTCTAACCTTGTTGGGCACGAAACCTCGAGCCGTTCGATCGGCGCCGGTGCCCGCGGTTTCACGCTACTCGGTAATCTGACTGATCTGCTTGAAGAGCTCGACCCACTCTGAGTCGGCCCGGTAGAAGACGGGCGGCTGGCCGAGAGGGGCGTCCACGGTCACCTCCTGTGGCCCCTGCCACTGCTCCCCGGTCCAGAGGTGCACCCAGCTGTCCTCGGGCAGGCGCAGGCGGCGACTCTGCGCGCCCTCCTCGTACACGGGCGCCACGAGCAGGTCGCGGCCGTACAGGTACTGGTAGCCGGTCAGGTTGGTGTACCCGCTCAGCTCATTCGGGTAGTGCAGGAACGTCGGTCGCTGCAGAGGCGTGTGTGACTCTCCGTACTCGGCTAGGGCAGCGCGCGTGTATGGCGCCAGCGCGGCGAACTGACGAGAGAGCCGGGCGAACGCCGCCAAGATGCGCTCGTTGGAGTACCACTGAACGTTGGCGTCGGGCCGGTTTCCCTCGTGGGTGCGCATGACGGGCGTGAAGACGGCATACTCAGCCGAGCGCAGCAGGAGCTCCTCGGAGCGCACGAAGAACGGCCGCTGCGTGGTGTAGCCGCCGATGTCGAAGTGGTTCAGTCCGCAGCCGGCGATAGCGAGCGAAAGCGCCGACACGACGGTGGTGACGAGGCCGTCGGTGGTGGTCCAGTCGACGTTCTGGTCGCCCGACCAAGTCATGGCGGCGTGCTGCGCCTGCTCCGTGTTGCCGGAGCGCACGAAGAAGAGCGTGTCGTCCTCCTTTCCGGCGGCTGTGACGGCACGCCGGTTGGCGCGGCCCCAGAGCGCCGGGAACGTGTTGTGCAGAGCCGCCGGCGAGCTGAGCGCCGCAGCGCCCGCAGACACCGCGTCCACGGGCACGTACTCGGCAAAGTCGGCCATCCACCCGGAGATGCCCAGGTCGAGCATATTGGTGCGGATCAGCTGCTCGTACCAGGCCGACGCCGGCTCTGAAAGCAGGTCGACCGTGACGCAGCTGAAGCCGCCAAAGTCCTGCACGTACTCGGCGCCGCTAGCGTCCGTGAGGAAGTAGCCCATGTCCTTGTTGTTCTGGTAGATGTCGCCGTCAATGTTGAGGTAGGGGTTGATGTAGGCGAGGAGCCGGACGCCGTCGGCCTTCAGGGTCTGGATGACCGTGTCCAGGCCCGGGTAGTGCGTCTCGTTCCAGCGCCAGTTCCAGAACACGCGCTCGCCGAAGGCGGTGTTGACGATACCGGACCAGTCCTGGATCCAGATGCCGGCCACCTTGATGCCGGCGTCTCGCGCCTGCTGGTAGCGCTGCATCATGAACTCGGTGCCGCCCTCGAGGCCGAGGATGACGCCCTCGGAGGCCCAGTCGGGCAGCAGCTGGCGGCCCGTGTTGGCCCACTGGACCAGCTGCAGCGGGGAGCCGGCCGCCACACGGACGTCCAGCGCGCCGGCCGACTGGGTGTACAGCTCGTGACGCTCCTCCGAGCTGAACTGCAGCGCGCCGTACTCGTGCGTCACGCTGCGGAAATAATAGCCCCGCGAGGAGAGGAAGCTGGCCTCGGGCCAGTAGGTGGTGTGGTAGTCGCCGCCGGCGCCGCCGTCCAGACTGATGATGTCGGTGAGCGGGTTGTCCGGGTCGCGCAGGATGCCCTGCTCGCGCGTCCACACGGGATAGTCGCGGCCGCGCAGGTTGAAGAAGGTGTACTGCTCTCCGCCGCCGAACACGGTCTCGTCGGGTTCGGCGTGCAGCCGCAGCCACAGCCGGTCGAAGCGCTCCGGGCGCGCGGCGCCGCCGCCGATCAGCACCGAGTCTGCGGACGTGCTGAAGCGCAGGGTGACGGTGCTTTCGGCGTCCGTGGAGGACCACAGCGTCACCGTGGCCGCCGACTCGCTCTCCGCGGAGACGGAGAAGGAGCTCAGCGGCAGACGCTCCGTGATCGTGTCGTTGATGATGAAGTTGCCGGTCGTCTCCTTGAAGGTGGTGGTTCCCGTGCCCAGGACGACGGCTGCATGACCCGGCCCATGGTCAACCAACTGTGAACAAAACGCACACTCACGGTACATACAGGTATAGGCAGTGCGGATGCAGTATCGACGCTTTGTAAATAGGCTGTTGAGTTTTGTGTTCGTCACAAAAAGCATTGGTCTTGATTTTTACCCTCGCCGGCTGAGGGATTGTCGCCCTCCATAGTTTTTTTTTTTACCGCGATAGCTCCGAACACGCCGGAGATAGGAAGTTGAAACTTGGCATACCTGGCCATTGTTTCAAGCCGGATCTTGTGACACCAACTTCATTTTCAGGTCAGGTCTGGTCACTGACCTATGACGTCATAAGTGAATTTATGCACAGTCCTCAGATGTCGCACTCGCAACTTCGCATTTCGTAACGCCCTCAGTGCAATCGCGGCTCTGCGACGCTAGGTCACCTAGCTGGTCCCCAGTTAGGTGGCCCCAGTTAGGTACCAGCCGTCGACCAGGGACCAGCTAGGTGACCATCCTGGAGACATGGCCTAAGAAGACCTGGATATGTAGACAGGATAGGTAGGTGTTATAAGCCCTGATTAACCCTCGCCGGACCTATTGGTTTTTTACATACGCGCCGGCCGAGGGGGGGGGGGCGGGTACGACCCCCCCTCGCCGTTTCGCCCCTGGTGGAGCTAGCGCGTCGCGGAAAAAACGAGCGTGTGCGCCGTTACGAGACGCAGAGATTGGTACCCGATTTTAAGGTTCTAGGTCAACGGGTGACCTCTGAGGTCAGGTCAAGTGCCCCAGGGTACGGTTCAGTTTTTGGTGAATAACTTCGCAAAAAACGGCCGCAGGGCGCCGATTTTGGCAGCATCGTGTTTGCCTCGCTCAGGCGCGTCGAATGATATACTTTTTGTCCGGGTCAGGTCAACTTGGGGTGTTGACCTCAGGTCAAGGTCAGGTCAGCACCCCCAGGTCACGAAGTTGGTCGAAAGAGGTTATGTCGCATATCATTCGATTCGGCAGGCCTTCCTGAGTCCATTGGTGCCTTTCCCGACTCGCTAGCTCAATTTGATCAAGAGTTATTGACGAAAAACTAATTTGACCTTGATGACGTCATAAATGACGTCACGCAAGGTCAACATTGCAAAAGTGACGCATCTAACCTTGCAAGGAGTGCATCAAATCACGATTCTGTGTGCTTGAGATAGTTGGAGATCGTTCCCGGCGCCAGAATAGCAGTTTGAATTTTTCCCCATTGACTTATAATGGTGAGGTCACGAAAATGACCTGACCTCATATGACCTTTAGGAAAAATCCGAGATATGCAAGTTGTGGGACTCATAATGGATACTAGATCCTGCAAGTTTCATTTCCCTGTGACATCTCCTCTGGCAGTGAGGGCGTTGCGAAGTTGCGACATCTGAAGACCGTGCAGATGTTCACTTATGACGTCATAGGTCAGTGACCTGACCTGACCCAAAAATGCGGTTGGTGTCAAAAGATCCGGCTTGGATAAAAAGTCAGGTATGCCAAGTTTCAGCTCTCTATCGCCAGCGTGTTCGGAGCTATCGCGAAAAAACCCTATGGGGGGGGCGGCACCCGCCCCCCCCCCCCTCGGCCGGCGAGGGTTAAAACGAATGATGGCACTACGCGCTGTCGATATAAATGCCGAAAAGCTATGGGGGCATTTAACTCCTCCCCCATCAGGGTGAGGGATGCCCTATACGACTTGATGCCTATACGACTTACGGCGTTACATGGCAATGAATGGAAATGTGGAGCGAACTGAGCTTGGTGGTAAATAATTATCATAACTAAATATGTTAAGTCGTGAATTTTTCGGATAACTTATCGGGTGTAAACGCTGCTATTAGTGTGAGAAGCAGCAAGTGCTAGGCAGACGATAACGAGCATATCAGAGACATTTCCACGTATCTAACGCAGAGTGGCAGCTGATGTAGGTAAAGGAAAACATTGTGTAATGCATATATGCTGGTCCGTACATAGAGGATATGTAGGTAGGCATATTTTGCTAATGGTAGGTATACCGGCTTAACTGACTTAATGACTGAGACTTGTCAGTGACTACACCGATTGAATGGTCGCTTTGAAACTTACCGATTAATCAGGACAACTGACACGATGTCGGTATAAAACTTTTATCTCATCATGGATTTATATGCGGCCTATTGTCACACATTTTTTGGTGAACTCTTCTTACATTCAATGGAATAGCTGGGTGCCTATCGGTCAAAAAGCGTACTTTACACTCTCAGTCACCGTTTATTGGGTTAATAATTAATATCAAATACCTATTGATCTGAAAATTTATAACGTGATCTTAATCCGCGCCCTAAGGTCTCAGCCAACTTCGTCATGGTGGTGATGGGCGTATTTGGCCATACACGATTATCTCGGAAACAAATTAAGATAGAAATACGCGGAAAGAAGTAAGTTAATTAATAACCCGTTATAAGATCTTTTAGAATTATACAGTTTTTTTTCCGTTCAGCTCATCGCTGAAGTCAATGAAGGTCACCGAAAGCAAAATTATAAAGGGAAACTTCCTAATTTTGTTATTTTTATATTATTTTTGTTTTATATATACCTATTTTTTGTTTTGTATTTCCAAAGCGGTAAATAACTCTGGGACGAATTAAGCTACAGCGCCGTGAAAGAGCGCATTCGATATATGTAGACCTTACAAAAAAACTTCCTGAGTAATGAGCTGAAATTTGGCTAGGGTCAACGGTTTAGCCTCCAGCCAAAGGGCAATAACTCTTAAATTCGGACGTTCTTGCTGATAACATGTTTTCTGCAATGCATAACTTTTGACACCGCATAGTGTTTCACTCTTTGAGACGCGTCAAATGAACTATAGGGGAGAGCGGGGTGAGTTGTATCATGTCCAAGTTGTATCAGGGCGAATTGTGCCAAAGTTATCCAATAGGTAGCGCTCGTGACACGACCAGTCGACGAGGTTTTCCGGGCGCCATCTTTCCCTGTTCTGTCGTGTGGCTGGGTGGACGCGTCTCGAGGTGAGAGCCGATTTTATGTTTTTTTAATGTCATTCTAAAAAAATAGGTTGCAGGAAAATGTGTGCTTTGGGCATTTAGATGTGCACGAATTTGAAAGATCTCCGTAGCGGTGGTGAGGGTAGGTTCTAAGGCTGCGTGAGTGAAAATGGATTTCTCCAGCTGTCCGCTGTTTTTGAGCACGAGGATGTTTTATCCAAGATGGCGGCGAGGTACATGTTGTATCAGAGCCGGGTGGGGTATGTTGTAACATGTATGTATGTATGTACGCATGGGTATGTTACTTTTGATCGCGAAAGCTAAGCCCTGGCTCGCGTTTGTAGGTAGCTAGTCAATACTCGTTCCATTTCGGCACAATGTGTTGGCTGCTTTGCTCTTAACGGGTCACTTTTGCGTGTAGTCTGTTGATGTTTCGTTCGTTTCGATGTTTCGTTCGGATCGACCTAAGTTTGGTCTAATAAAAGTGAAGCCTTTGAGCATAAACATTGTATTAACCCCATTTAATGTTGTTGTTATGTTCAAAACCAGTAGCAAACACACTCCCTGAAACGTGAAACAGTGATACAAATTACCCCACCATGTGATACAACTCACCCAAGCCATGGGGCAAGTTGTATCAAAAACATTGCTCTATTCGGCAGACCGTAGAAGAAAAACTAGCAGAGGTAGCGGAAAAGTTACTTTGCACAAACAAGCAGAAGAATCAAGGAAGGAGATAGTATGGAAATAATGAGTTTATCACGGATAGTTACGAGGTTATGGGTCTCGGAGTAAAAACTGATACAACCCACCCCACTCTCCCCTAAGTTAGCCTAAAAAGGTCAACATCAAAATTTGAGGCTCACAGAAAAGGTCACATTGCACATCAGTCGATACGTATCGTTGGGATAAGGACATCTAAGGTATTTTCATCGCTCTAACATGTATCTAGCTTAGGGTTTTTTTTCTTCAAAAACTGCTGAAAATATTTTAGGATCTCATAAAGGTAAGGATCTCAGGGACATAATTATGAGTCACGTTTGCATTTTTCCGATCCATTGTGTCATGCTCACCCTGATCTTTGAGAATGTTTAGCAAGACTCGTCGAAAAGAAGAGTGGTAAATTGTTCTCCAATTGTCTTAACCCTCGCATGTGTGCGGCGTTTGCCAGCTTCTAATGTGTAGGGGGGGTGGGTCGGTTGGACCCCCCCTTGCCGTTTGGCCCCTGATCGAGCTAGAGCTTCGCGGAAAAAACGAGCGTGTTGCCCGTGACGAGAGGAAGCCGATGATACCCAATTTTAAGGTCCTAGGTCATTGGTTGACCTTCCAGGTCAGGTCAATGACCCAAAGTCGGGAAAATCGGGACCTGTTAGAAAGTCGTAAAGTGTGGCTGCTAAGGGGTTTTTCGGGGTGCTGATCACGAATATCATGTTAGTTTTGATCACAGATGATGTCTTGAAGCATTTAGACCAGGTCGGGTCAGGTCAGGTCAGGTCAACCAGTAGGCGTCGTGACGGGTATTCGTAGTACGTGTCAACCGCCTCTGACAGCTTCGTAACATGTTACGAAGTCACCAAAACTACTTCGTAAATGTTCAAATGGTTGCTAAATTCGAATTCAGCTCCAAAAACTAGCCTAGAAACATGTAAAACTCGAAAAAGTGACCCGAGGTCACCCGAGGTCACCAAAGGTCAATGACCTGACCTGACCTTCAGGTGACCTTGACACACACGGGAGTAACATCAAATCACATGTTTGAACGTTTGAAACCACGAAAAGCTTGCAAACACGCGGCTAGTGCGAGCCGACATACGCGAAATCGCGATTCCGGCCAAACATGGTCTCGGAAAAGAGGTCACAGGTCAAAGGTCATTTGGGTCAGGGTCATGAAATTTTCAGGGTAGGTGTAAAATTGATCAATGCGAGGGTACTGAAAGTTTCGTCGCGATCGGCCGCTTTTTACGCGAGTTATTCGCGAAAAACCATGGGGGGGGTCCATCCGACCCCCCCTACACATGCGAGGGTTAAGTTTAATGATGAGGTCGCAAAATTGACGTGACTTTAGGTCACCGATATCAGAATTCTGGGATATATCAATTATTGGTGATTAGGTATTTATTCATGCAATAGGTAGCACCTACCATAGGCGGCGGAACGGGGAGGGCGCCGGGGCACCGTGCCCCATAGGCGTCGCCAGAGATTTTTGGTGGGGGGGGGGGCAAAATCAACTTTAATGTTAAAACTTGCCTTTCCCCAGTCTTAACTCACTCGTTTTACATATCATTCGACGCGCAATGGTGCGAGGAATCCGATGGTGACAAAGGTTTCCTTCTAGCTATGGCATGTAACTTTTACTGAAAATTTCGAAATTTTGAAATTTCATGACATAGGTAAACGACTGGCAGGATCATAGCATATAGTGGCTGCGATTGCTGACGCACTGCAGAGGGCCGCTGTGTAGACGCTCGACGCTCATGATCATTACCCAGAAAGGTGAAAACGCTCCATTTAATCGGATCACCCTGCTAAAACCTCCATTCACGCACGCATGCAGAGGTTTTGCGTGAAATGCATAAGTATTATCCCAGCCGCCGATCGCAGCTAAGTTGGGCATTCGGTGGAGAGTGAATTTTGGAAGTGTGAATCGGAAGTAATTCATCTTTGCTCCAGTGAAAGGAAGTGTTTTGATCACTCGAGTGTTAACAAAAGTTTCTCGTTTTTCGTGTGAAGGGAAGCGCTGCAAACGCGAACAAAAACTGTTAAACGGAACCAAAGTTACGAACGGCATAGCGGCAAGGGATCCCTTAGAGATAGGTTTGGGACTTCCCTGTATGGGACCTCAGAGAACATGGACACTAGTGGGACTTTCAGAGGCCGGTTTGGGCCCCCTGAAAGCTTCTTTAGGGCTCAATGGAGCTCCTTAGGAGCCTTGAGCCCTGCGACACTTGTACGGTACTTGAGCCCGTCGCAGACATTTGACGAGGGTTGAGAAAGGCCCCGAAGATTTCGTTTCACGCTTTGAACGAAAATTGTGTCAGCACTCCAAAACTTATGAAAATCAGCTGTAAAATGTAATAAAGAACGAACTAGGAACATGGAATGAATCACAGCATTGACATTTCCGAGTCTGGAGTCCAGACTCTGGACTCGGAGTCTTTAAGATTTTGGCGGCTGCGAGTCAGACTCTGGTTGAACTGCACGCTCCAACCGAGTCTAACCTCACAGGCATTCTCAGAAAGGTACCCCCATTTTTTCCCCGACTCCAAAATCTCATCGGATCTGTATCGATCTCAGGGGGTGCCCGGTCCGAGGTTGGGGGGGGGGGGCAAGCTGCCCCGCTTGCCCCCCCCCCCCTGGCGACGCTAATGCGGCGTGCCCCCTTTGATTTTTGCATTTTAACATTAGCCCTATGGGCGTTGCATGGAAAGAATGGGACCAAAAGTCGGCAGTGCCCCCCCCCCCCCCTCCTCTTAATTGAAGGTGTTCCGCCGCCCTACTGGTACACTCGGGGGCAGATTGATGTTCCACAACTCTTTATCCACCGGGTTCCTATGGCTCAGCATTGGCAGCAGCCGCCTGGTAACGGTAGACTGTGCCGCTTCACTTACTTGTCAAGCGGCACAGCCTACCCACACCGTATGACACTGGTCTGGGTCGGTGTCTGAAAGGTGATGTGGGCCGCCTGTGACGTCAGCGCAGCGGTGAGGGCCGGGCCCGGAGGCATGGCTCTGGGCGGCGCAGCGCGGCGGCCGGCTGGCGAGGGCTGGGGAGTGAGGTGGGGTGGAAGCATGGACCATCGCGCGGCTGGGCGAGCGTAGTTAACTTTCGCGTCTCCATTTGCCAATTATTCTACCTATCAATTGCAAGCGCTAAAGCATTTGTTAAAATGCCCTATGCCCAAGACAGCGCCTATCATTTACTTGCCATGCGTATTACGAAGCACTTAAAGCGTGGCAATGGGACAGCCGATAGAACTTGTCACCCGTGCATCGAGGTGCGGAGCTATATTTTGCATAACATGTTAGTATTGAGGCCTTGATTGAGCAGATTGGTGTCTATTGTTTCGCAAGGCAATCGTCTACGTGGGAACTAGGGGTATGGGTATAGTGCGGCAGCTAACGCCCCAATTTAAAGCGATTATTACTGTTCCTCTTATATGAGGTCGCAGCCACCAATAGCAAACCGTTCCAACCAGGAGCCAAAAAGTCGGACACTCAGGGGGGTTCGAACTTCGAACCGGGCTTCCCCCACCGGTCAGCTCACGATACGAGCGTTCATCCACTGAGCTACCGGAAATGGTCCCCGTCAGCACAAAACAAAATGACATTCACCCGCTGACCGCCAATGACAGTTTTGTGACATTTCATCGCGTTTGACCGCGGCGGGTAGTCGCTGGTCTCGGTAGCTCAGTGGATGCACGCTATAGCGTCGTAGGGTGACCGGTCGGAGAAGCCCGGTTCGAACTGTCCCAGGTGCGCAACTTATTTGCTCCTAGTTGAAACGGTTTGCTATTGGTGGCTGCGATCACACATTAACCCTCGCCCATGTAGGGGGGGGGTTGGTGCAACCCCCCCCCCCTGAGGTTTTTCGGAAATAGTGCAAAAACGGCGGCGCGCAGCGCCGCCAAATTTTGGGTACCTTATGGGGCAAACCTTGCGCATCTTTTGATAAAAAAAATTTGACCGGGTCATGTCAGGTCACGGAGTTATGACGTCACAAAGGGAACAGCCTCCGGCCGGATTTTCACAAACTGAGTGCCAACGCCCGAGGTTTCCTGCCGGTGGTACGGACATCGGTTGATGGATCGTGATGAAACTTCCCATGCATGTTGGGGCAAGTATTGGCTATCATATGGTATAAGAAACTTGACCGGGTCAGGTCAGGTCACGGAGCTATGACGTCACAAGAGGAACAGCGTCCGGTACTATTTTTGAAAAGCGCCCGAACCACTATTTTGCTAATTCTTGTCACCTCGATGGGAATATGCAGCAATATTAGCTTCTATAGGGAGCAAATGGACCTCCCAAATCCAAAATTACAATCAGATTTCAAAAATTTAAATTTTGATTTTTCGAATTTCTGCCGCCGACTGTGACCTTGCCGACTTCCGGCGCTCCCAACGCGCCATTTTTAGAGCTAGGGAAACGAAATACATACCAAACGATAGAGAATTGATCAAGGAACACGATACTGAAGGTTTCAAGTCGATATCTCCCACCGTTTTGCCGCAATCGCCGCGGAAAGTTGAAAAAGTCTATTTTTCCGAAAAATTTGACCTTTGACCGGTCAAAAGTAGGTCAAATGTTGACCTAGGACCAAAAAATATACCACCAATCGCGAGATCTCGGCGAGAGCAATCCGTTGGTATTTTCCGCTAAGCTCTACGACGCTCCGTTTTCAAACGCCAAGGGGGGGGGTCGCACCAACCCCCCCCCCTGCATGGGCGAAGGTGGCAGATCGCCGTTTACGGGCGAGGGTTAAAGGAACAGTAAAATTTGTTTAAAGTTGGGGCGTTGGCTGCCGCGCTATCCAAAAACTGCAGTTCCCACGTCTCTGGACGATTGCTGTGCGAAATAATAGACACCAATAAGCTCAATCAAGGCCTTAATAAATACCTCTTGTCTGTTATAAACAATGTAGCTCCGCAACTCGATGCACGTGTGATATAAATTCTATCGGCTGTCCAAATGCCACGTTAAAGTGTGTCGTAATGCTCATGGCAAGTATGACGATAGGCGCTGTCTTGGGCATAGGATATTTCAACAACTGCTTTAGCGCAATTGTTAGGTAGAATAATTGCCGCCTTGAGACGCGAAAGTCAACTACACTCGCTCAGCCGCGCGGCGCGATGGTCCATGCTTCCACCCTCTCACCCCACCTCACTCCCCAGCCCTCGCCAGCCGCCGCGCCGCGCCGACCCGAGCCATGCCCCCGGGCTCGGTCCTCACCGCTGCGCTGACGTCACAGGCGGCCCACATCGCCTTCCAGCCACCGACCCAGACCGGTGTCATACGGTGTGGGTAGGCTGTGCCGCTTGACAAGTAAGTGAAGCGGCACAGTCTACCGTTACCAGGCGGCTGCTGCCAATGCTGAGCCATAGGAACCCGGTGGATAAAGAGTTGTGGAACATCAATCTGCCCCCGAGTGTACCTACCCGAGTTTCAAACCTACATGAATAAGTTGTACGAATGACGAAATCACAGTGCTTTTAGAGGCATAGTCAGTCATCTTGACCTTGTGACCTAATTAAGCGACCTGATGTAAAAAAAATCACACACGGTGCGAAAGTGATGCATCAAAAGCTCTACCTACCAAGTTTCGTTTCGCTGCGCACTTCGGTTTTCTTTTCACACTCAAAAGAAAACTGGCGAGTGTGGCCAAAGACGCCCTATGCAGGCCCCCGGAGCGAAATATAGTAAATTTTGACGATTTTGCTCGACATAACACGATGATGAGTAAAATGTATATTATTTTTATGCAACATTTCTATAGCTTCCATAAACGATATCCGTGTCTTTGCAACTAAGCAAATAGTGCTTTGCTCTAAACTTTTGGGTCCCTACCAAAGTTGTAACGGTTTACATTTTGCATCGTTACCCTGTCTCGTCCACGCCTCACTCACGAGCAGGTCGTCCTGAAGGAGCAGTCGGAACGAGTCGCTCGTCTGCTCTATGCGAAACGAGGGCGGCAGGACGGCGTCAACAGGCGGCTGGCCCCAGACCAGCACCAGCAGCGCCAGCGGCACCAGCAGCGGACTCTGCCGGACGGCCATCGCGGTCCGGGGGCGGGACGGATCTGAGCGGACCCAGCCCGGCGTCCGTTCCCGCAGCGGCGACGGCAGCAGTGATGGGAGCGCGGCCAGCTGCCCCGTCCCGGAGGCCTGGCCGGCGCCGGGACCTTGGGCCGGGGGTGTGGCATCCGTCCACAGTCCACACTGACACGGGCACGGCACATTGTAGGCATGTCATCAAGCGATCAGACTACCTGCGCCGCTGTATAATTCGACGGCATATTTCGTGGAGCCCGAGGTTTATGGAGACGGCTCGACGCATGGTTCGGGTTTCACTGTCTCATGTCCACGGTCGTTTTCCACATATATGTGGAAAACGGGTGGGTCCAGGGTCCAGTGTGGGTACAATGTGCGAATTATCTTTTATAAGTGTTGTCGCTGTAAGGAAATGCCTCCCGTGTCACATTTAACCCGCGCACCGACGGGGGGGCGGATATCCGCCCCCCCCCTGAGGTTTTTCGCGAATAGCGGGAAAACCGCGGCGCGTAGCGCCGCGAAATTTGGTATGACTATTCCCTTATCAATTTTACACATGGTGTGCAAGTTTGAACCTCCTACCTTTCAAGGTCAGGTCACCAGGTCACTTTGAATGACCCAACCTCAAGTCACTTTTTTGCAACTTTGTCACCGTGCCGGAGCTACAGTAGATGTCGGAGGCCTTTGAAAGTCGCAGGATGTTATTAGGTCATTAGTAGCTACAATTTGTATATCTCGGAATTTTGATATCGGTGACCTAAGGTCAGGTCAATTTCGCGACCTCCCCATTATAAGTCAATGGGGGAAAAATCAACTCCCTGTTTTTACCACTAAAACGGGTCGGAATGGCCCCATATACCATACATGACTTCATATACGATCAACCTTCACTACCTTGAGGTCTGTTTTGCTGTTGGGCAGCTGTGAGGTCATGTGACGTCATCAAAGGTCACCAAAGGTTTTTGGCCAATAACTCCGTACAAGAACAAGATACAGACGCGTGGATGGTCTCATTGTGTTCAGCTCGTCAAGACGCATCGAATGATATACATGATGACCTCGAGGTCACGTGACCTGAGGTCAACCTTTGACCTTGACCTTTCGAGGTCAACATATATATCATTCGATGCGGATTGACGAGAGGATCACGATGATGCCCTTAGTTTGTTCCTATCTTGACTAATTCGAAAGTTATTCGAGAAAAACTCTCTCCATATTTAGCGCCGCCATTTTGACTTTTTCGACCCCTGTGACGTCATCTTTGACCTGATCTGAAAATGACCTTCGTAAAAATTGTAGATCTTGACCGTGCGTATCCGATGCCGTTTACCGCTTGTCGCTATCTTGCTTCGTTCTCGAGATCTCAGGGGGTGGCGGTCATCCGCCCCCCCCCCCCCCGTCGGTACTAAGTTGGCGCAGACCCCCGTCGGTGCGCGGGTTAACCTATCGTAACGCATCTTGGTACTTGGTAGGTTTCGACGGCAGCCAACTTGACTCACAGGAGTGACCAAGGAGTGACCGATAACGGCTGGTGCACACACAACGCCATCTGGCACAGTTGAGGATTAGCATAATCCGGCCAAGTGTGCCAGGTGGCGCTAGTTACCCACCACTACCAGCCACGGCCGAGTAAGGCCCTTCCATGGACTCTCTATATATGTAATATCAGGGGCGGATCCAGGAATTTTCGGGAGGGGGGGGGGCGGCAAGTCGAAATAGGGGCGACCTGGCAATCCGGGGGCGCTCAATACAAAGGGGGCGCCAAACCGTCAAAATCGGGAGCTAAAAGCCCGCGCCGTGCTAGGGGGCGTTATCGCGCTCCCCCTCAGGTTTTTCGCACATATCTGAAAAACGGCTGCGCGCAGCGCCGCCATTTTCAGCATACCTTATCATGCATCTTTTTTGCACATGTTGTAAAAATGTCTGACGCGGGTGATGGAAGGTCAGGTCACCAGGTTATGCCAAGTGACCTAGCCTAAGAAAAAGTTCAAATGCTTACCATTGCTATACCGACTGAACGATTGCTTTGAACCTTTCAGCGATTGATGAAAGCAACACTATTCATGAAATGTATATCTCGGAATTTCGATATCTGTGACCTAAGGTCAGGTCAGTTGTGCGACGTCTCCATTAGGTAGGTAGGTATAGGTAATATAAGTCTTTGGGAGAAAACCGAAAGGCATCTTTTTTGGACGAGCGCCATTCTAGACAATATCAAGCATTGGGATACATATAAAATTAACACACTGAATAAGAACATTGCACCTAGTGTGACCACTCATTATGTCCTAGAGGTCATCCCATGTCATGAAAGGTCCGCAGCAGTTAAAAAAAAAAACTTTTGATAGATTCAAGCTAGAGCGATAAAAACACCTCAGCTGTGTTCAGCTCGACGATACGCATCGACTGCTATGCAGCATGACCTTTCCCGGTCAGGTCATGACCTTAACCTGAGGTCAAATTCTCAAAATTACCTTTCATAAGGTCAACCTTTAGTTTGTTCGACGTGTCTCGACGACAGAAACGCAATGCTGACAAACGTAACGTCGAGACTCTCTTGAGTCAAAAGTTATTGCAGGAAAACATTGTTCGTAAAAAGGCTATTTTTAGAGTCTTTTGCCCTCTGAAGGCTAAACCGTTGACCTGAGGTCAAATCTGAGCGCAGCTTGCAGAAACACCTTTAAAAGGGCTATCGAATGCGCTTTTCTGCGGCGCTATAGCTCTATTGGTTTCCGAGTTATGTGCCGCTGCTTCGAAAACGGGAAAATGTTGAAACAGGCAATATTTTACCTTTGATGACCTCTGGTGACCTGACATTCGACCTGACCTAAAAATGACTGTTTTGTTTTCGTCCTGTTTTTTTTTTTACGATCTTTCGAATGCCGCTTATCGCGTGTCACTACGCGGCCCAGGAGCCGAGTTAGACGAGGGAGTTTGCCCCCCTCCCCTCCCCAGCAGGACACGGGAAACTCAGACCACCAGCACGGCACGGGTTAAAAGTCGTAGATGGGCACCGCTACCCTAGCAAAAGATATAAGCAAAAAGGTGGCCTCCATTTACTGGTGCAGTCCTTCTTCTCCCGGTGATGCCCCCTCCTTTTTCTGGAAGCGTCTCACTTATGCTGGTATGCCTCACTTCCCGGGGGCGCCCAACCTCTGCTTGGATCGCCTAATCCATTATGGAGAGACCCAGTTTGCTTAAGTCGCCTCATTTCTTCCTTCTAAGAACGACCAATTTGCTGTAGCCGGCCCACTTATCTGGGACGCCCATCTTCTGCTAGAAGTGCCCCTCTTCTTCCTGATGCGTCCCACTTCTACTACGAGTGCACCTTTTCTGTTAGGGCGCCCATTTGCTGCTGAGGAGTCTTTTTTCTACTGTGAATAGGGCGGCCCTCTCCTGTTGGGCGACCCCAAATTCTGCTGAAGGCGCCCCACTTCTGCCCAACTTTTGGTGGGGTGCCCCTCTCTTGCAGGGGCACTTCTCTTTTGCTGGATATGCCACTCTTGTGGGGGCGCCCTTCCACTGCGGGGAACGTCTCTCTTCTGCCAGAGGCACCCCTTTTCTTCTTATGGGGCTCCAGTTTTTTTCTGGGGCGAGGCGACCCTCTGCTGCTCGGAACGGGGCACACCTCTCCTATTACTGAGGCACCTTCTGCTGGGGTTGCTGGGCACCAACTGCTGGGCACCACTTGCTCTTGGTTTCTACAAATTGATAATGTGGTTCACGGTGTGGTATTGAATGTTCTATACTGCGGAGACGTCCTGTGGCACTTGAAGCCTCATCGGTTTTGAAATTATGTAGCCTGGCTCGATGAGGCGTGTTCGATTCCAGCGGTGCATGCACCATTGGGTAGCTTAAGCCACTCGGGCGGGCACGTATGTAGGTGTGACCTGTGATTAGGGCTACCTGGGTTTGGCCTGTGGCTGGAACAGTGAGCACGCTCTATTGAATAGAAGACGGCAAGAACGCGACTAAGTACTAATTAGGGGAAAATGACCTAATACCGCACTCAGGGGTGGGGTTTTATGAAATCGATTGGGGGTGCTCAGCTTGCCGGTGCACATATTGTACGGTAGCGGCAGAAGTATACATCAACCTAGGGTACATACCCAACACGCGCGGGGCTGGGGTCTCCAGCCGAACGCGCGGGGCTGGGGGGGGGGGTAAATTTTTACCCCCCTGTTATCTCCCGAACTAATGGTCCGATTTGGAAAATTCAAACGCCAATAGAAAGATCTCATGACGACCAACTGAGAACATGTACTTAGTTTAAAGTTTGAGGTCAAGGTCAAGGTCAGGTCAAGGGTACAAATTGCAAGTTTCTACAGTATCGGCCTTGCACCGTAGTTGCCGAAGAATGGAGCCATGGACTGAGACTGATTGCCCAAAACGTGTTCTTAGGCTACCAAGACAATATTCGTTGCATACAATATCATTCAGAGGTCAAGGTCAAGGTCCAGGTCAGGTCAGGTCAGGTGAGGTCACCAAAAACAAAATATAGAAAAGGGCATGTGCGACACATGTTTTATGGGTCATTTTATTCATGCAATTCAATAGGCACACTCAATAGGTGATATGGACCACATCTGGATGAATTTCAGGTCGAGGTCAGGTCAAGGTCAGGTCAAGTGTGGTCAAATTTTGAAGTTGGTTGTTAAGGCCTAAAAAGGTGTCTATCTGATGCAGTATTTCACGGCGAATCGAATGGTGCTATTGTTGTTTCCGTACGATGTCTAGAACTTCCGAAAAATCATTTTTTTTTTCTTCAAAAAATTGTTTGTCGTGACGTCATAAAATTTTGAATAGCTCCCACATTTCTGAAATGATTCTTCTAAAAATTGGTATGTAGGTGCACATGGACCACTTCTCTGACATATATTCCGGTTTTTTCGATACCCGCAAAATTTTGGATTTTATAATTATTTTCCCAAAAAAGTCAGTTTTTTCAATTTGGGCCAAAATCAAAAATTTTCAAAAAACCGAGATAGCCATTTGATAGACAAAGTAGAATCACGTATAACCTTTTTTGTTACGTTTTGATTCCCTTAAAAATGAAGATGTTAGCGGCGTTTG